ATGAAAATCTGGAATCTGAGGGTGCAAAAAAATCTAAATATTGAGAAAATCATCTTTAAAGTTGTCCAAATGAAGTTCTTAGCAATGCATATTACTAATCAAAAATTAAGTTTTGATATATTTACGGTAGGGAATTTACAAAATATCTTCATGGAACATGATTTTTGATTAATGATTTTTGGCATAAAAGAAAAATCAATAATTTTGACCCATACAATGTATTGTTGGCTATTGCTACAAATATACCCCAGCGACTTATGACTGCTTTTGTGCTCCAGGGTCACATATAGTCTGATATAGTGAGAATATGAAGTAAACATAAAATACAGCAATTTGGTGCAGATGCTGATATTTATATAATGAAATTCTGATGCTTGTAAATCAATGAGATCTTTATAAAAGTAGAGCAGATACTTACACATAAAATATATAAATATCAGTCATCGCTCTGTATTTCCAGTAATAAGATGAAATTGAAATTATCCAAATATACAGTATAATGCAATGCAATCCAATGATGATGAGAGATGAACAAACAAACGATCCTCAAAAGATCCTGATGATCATATTTGATGATCATATATTTCATATTTTCTAAAAAAAAAAAAAAAGATCTGGAAATATGACTAACAATATCAAAGTTATTCTTGTGTTTACTTGATAAAAATCAGTAAAGCAGAAAGACACGTGAAGCTCGAGCTGAAGCTGGACGTTTGTAAAGTTAGACTAAAAGAGATTTTACTTGATAAAAAACTCTAAACTATTAATCAGACAACAAAGTTTGATCATGTTGATCATTTAGACACCTTAGAAATCTGCCTATCAATTATGATACAGTAGCTTTTATAGGGTTAAATATAACACAGGTTTCTGACTTTGCTGCAGAAAGTTTATCCAGAGCAATAACATCATGTGTCTGAAGAATATATTGATTATTGTTCACAGAGGAAGAGACTCTTCCTGTAGATTTGAGCTCTTTGGCGAACAAGCTCATACCTGGACTGACGTCGCTGGGCTTTAAAGACGACAGGAGACACAAAGGTAACAGGTTTTCAAACGTGAAGATTATTTTTAGGGTTGTGAATCACATTACTGTCTCTAAAATGCCAGAAGAGTCAGGAATTAAATCAGAATCACAACCAGAATCTTTACGTTCGCGATTCGCGTCTTGGTCTTTGTCTTTGGTTTCAGTGACGTTCTTGAGCAGCGCGTACAACACTCAGACTCTTCAGAACAACTCCGTCTATCCTGATCTACTTCCAGAGGAGATGGACATGCTGTACTCGGCTTACGGAGACGAGACCGGGGTCCAGTGCGCTCTCAGGTGTTTAGATCAAACCTGTCTATCAGCGTTAGTGGACTGCTGCGTTGGACTCAGTTGTGTGATGGGATTTTCTGTGTGTGCTTCAGTCTGCAGGAGTTTGTTAAGGGTTCTGGGAGTTTTACCAAAAGGCTTGTGGATGATTTGCTGGATAAAATGACAGCTGGTGATCATTCGAAGGCTGTCATGCAAATCCGACAGGTATTAAAATTTTTTCTTTTGACAAGATACTTTTTGTGGTCTTTAAACATTCTTAGGATTTTAGCAATATACTATTCTGTTCAAGAGTGTGGGGTCAGTAATGCTTTGTATACTTTTATACAGCGACGACGCATTAAACTGATCAAAAGTGACAGTAAAAACATTTATAATCTTACAAACGATTTCTATCTCAAATAAACGCTGTTCTTTTGAACTTTCTATTCATCAAAGAATCCTGAAAAATAGCATATATCACAGTTCAAAAATATGATGCAGCACAGCTGTTTTCAACATTGATAATAATCAGAAATGTTTCTTGAGCAGCAAATCAGCATATTAGAATGATTTCTGAAGATCATGTGACACTGAAGACTGGAATAATGATGCTGAAAATTCAGCTTTGATCACAGAAATAAATTACAGTTTAACAGATATTCACATAGAAAACAGTTATTTTAAATTATAATAATATTTCACAATTTTTACTGTATTTTGATTAAATGAATGCAGCCTTGGTGAGACTTCATTAAAAGCATTTCAAAATCTTACCGACCCTAAACTTTTGAAAAGGAGTGTGAAATATTGTATTATATAATATATAATAAATGTTTTTGTTTTTCAGAAAAGGAACATGCCGATTGATGACACTAAGTCTAGTTTATGTGACATGCCGGTGAGAATGATATATCTTTTGTGCAATAAGTTTCAAAGTATGACATTGATGACATTTTCTCGATGTTTCTATAGGGAACAGATGGAAGCGGCATAGAAGCTGGTTCAGTGCTGGATTTCATGAGCATGAAGAGCTACCCAGACAATCCTCTAGATATGCTCAACACGTTACGTGAGTCCTATATCACGCGTTTAAACCTCCCGGCTGCACAGGCCTTTGCTCTAGCTGATCATTGGTGTTTTTCTGATCTGCAGGTAAATGTGTGAAGAAGGAGCCGGAGCATGAAGACGGTCATCAGCACTTTGATGACGCAGCCAAACTTCTGCAGGAGTTTCATGACGCAGCGGTGGACCGAGTCGGATCCCGACCGTCATCCAATCTTTCGTCCCTGTCAAACAATTCAGAGAGGGATCCGCACCATTTAGGTACTGAGTCATAGTTATAACGTTATACGTCACAGGCAAAATCGCACATTATTTCAGTTGTTTTGAGGCTTTCTAAAATTAAAACAAAATGAAAGAAAAGTCAAACAGGAAAGTGCCTAACCCTGTAAAGCATGACGTGCATGAAGCATATGAAATGATAGTCAGAAATATCTAATTATTTTAAATGGAACAGTGTATTGAACCTTTAGACAAAATATTTGTTTTAAATCCAAAAAAAAAAAAAGTTTGCATATGTTTTTTTTTGTTGAGTGTCATATTTGATCTGTCAGGCTTTTATGGATCATACAGTATGATATAGTAAGAATATGAAGTAAAAAAGAAAAAAAATGGCTCTTTATTTCAGAGACTCAAACTGAGCAAAAATATGCAATTTGGTGCAGATGCTGATATTTATATGATGAAATCTGATGCTTGTAATGTAAATCGGGTTTAAATCTTTTTATTAAGGTATTCAATTAAACAATCCAATAGTTATTGTTACATACCATTATTTCAGTTATATATATATATATATATATATATATATATATATATACATACATATACATAAAAAACTGAACATACAAGCACAACAAACATTTATGGTACAAAACAAAACAACCCCTTACCTCCCTCCGCACCCTAGGGACTTAAATCATGCCACACTAATGGTGCATGATTACTCAGCCTGCATTATCAAGATATAGGAGAAGAGGAGACCAAATCTTATCAAAGTTATCCAATTTATTTACCAACAGGAATCTATTTTTTTTCCAAATGTAGTACCTTAATAATTTCTTCCAACCAAAGTTTAGCTGATGGGGTTTCTGTCGTTTTCCAAAACCTTAGGATAAGTTTCTTTGCCACAATAAGTCCATAGGACAGCAACTGTTGTTCAGATTTTTTAAGTGACATGATTTTATCAGAAATTCCAAATATCACAAGAAGTGGGTCGGGCTCTAATACACGGTGTAAAATATCTGACAGAGTTTTAAATACTTCAGTCCAGAATGAGATTAACTTAGAACAAAGAACATTACTATGCAAGGGAGTGGCTACATCAGTCTGACATCTGTCACAATATGGAGAGACACCTGGAAAAAGTCAATGTAATTTTCTTGTGCTGTAAATCAGTGAGATCTTTATAACAGTAGAGCAGATGCTGACATAAAATGATCTAAATATCAGTGGTCGCTCTATATCTCCAGTAATAAGATGAGATTGAAATGCTCCAAACATATAATGCAGTGATTGAGAGAAGCTCCTCAGAAGATGTGAGATGTTCTGGAGGCTTGTGAAGATCATTCCTCCGCTGAGGAACAGTGAAAGTAAAGCTTCTGGAAACAAACGCTCCTCAAAAGATCCTGAGGATCAGATTTGAGACTCTAAAACATGATTGATGGAGAATCAAGTAAAGCTGAGCTGCTTCAGTCCAGTAAGTGTTCATCTGGAGATATTACTGCAGTTATTCTGACCTTTACTTGATAGAAATCAGTTAAGATTTGACACGAGAAGCTCCAGCTGAAGCTGAACGTTTGTACAAATACACTAAAAGAGCTTTAAACTATCAATCAGAGACAGAAGACATGAAGCGGATTGTGTGCGACAGCAAAGTTTGATCATTTATAGGCCTCTGTGTATAAAATATGATACAGTAGCTTTACAGGGGTAAAAGAAATCGTAATGTTCTGATATGAACTTCATTTGTTTGTTCACTGTGATCAGGAAGTTCCCCTCATCTTGGAGATCAGACAGAGATGGTTGAGGACCCTTATGAGTTCCTGCAGTCTCCAGAGCCCGGATCCACCGCTAACAGCTGATGTGACTCTCAGACGGACTCGCTGTGATCATGTGCTGTTCTAAAGGACTGGACAGACTCACTGCATCACCTGCTTGTTTTTAAATAAAAGCTCTGTGTCTGATTTCCTCTTTTATATGGTTGTTAAATGCTGTTTTTTTTTTCCTGACCACATGTTTGATCTGCAGTAGTGGTGCATTAAGCTCACGTTGCTTCTCTTTTTTTACCTCGTGAACGTTAGGAAGTAGAACTTCACATCTCCAAAACCCTTTTGTCCAAATATTACTGTGGTTCTCAAATGGTTTTGTTTCAGTAGTCATTTTATACACAGCCCAACAAAGTGACAGAATCGCTTAGTGTGCATAAGTAAAAACGAAATGCCTTTCAAATAAAACATTGACATTTATTACACAATTTTGCACAAGGAATGAAATAAAGATCTAAAGTCATTACTGAGTGACATGAGAAAAATGATTTAAAATTCACAATGTTCACTTTATTGTGGCAAGTTTATTTTTCATGCACAATAGGAATTCAAAGTGCTTTGCATAAAAAGGATTTCATAAGGGATGCATAAGAAAAAACATAAAATGCAAGTTTATTTAAAATTGAAAAATGTTGCATTGTAATCAGTAGTATGCAGCACAGTGCGTATTCATTAAATGCACAGCTAAAAGAAAACTAAAAAAATGTGAGTTTATTATTTTATGCATTGCATTAAGATGAAAATGCTTTCATGTTTTCCTGCAATGTGCTGAACTCTCACATGCATTCATGGAGAGCTCTCATTTGCATTTGGCTTTGCATGTCCTAGTGGTCACTAGGTAACAGTTAAGATCTCCCAGCCCTGAGAACTTCCATGTTCTGTAGTTCTATTGCAATCACGTTGTTTCCGTATCAAATTACAGTGGTTCACATTTTTAGAAGTTGTAATTCCACTTTCATGATTCAGTTTGCTGTTAAATGTTTTCACATTTCTTTGCGTTGATTTGTTGTTTATATGCGCTTAAAAAAATAGTGTAATGTCAAATGAAGTATGAGAAAAGCGCGATCGCGTTTCAGCTTCGCCTGAATAGCAAATTTTGGCGTTTAATAATCATGAGCTGTAACCAGGCGAAGTGCAGCGTGATTTATTAATATTCATGAGCCGCCGCTCGCTATTGGAAGTCTCTGGAGCGTGACGTACGCATGCCCTAATTAATATTCAACAGTTACGCTTTCGCCCTAGTGGTTCATATTTTATCCGCTTGAAGTAAGAGGCGCACCGCCGCTCGCGTCCTATTAATTGACGAATAATGAACATTTTAAGGATCTGATATGCTACATTAGATATTGTAGCGTTAAAATAGGATATTAAACAGCTTCAGACTGGATAATGGCTTTGAAAACGACTCTTCTGCTGTACAGTGGACTGTGAAGGAGATGATGAAGAAATCAATGGATCAGCAAACTGTATCCAAGAGATCCAAATGATCAACAACAGATGTTTTTCCAGAGAAAACTGCTGGAGGCTGTTCAATGACGAATGCAAGTGGCTTTTTATTCATGCAAAATGGATTGATTTAATTTTATTATATTTTCTTAATCCCCTATTGTGTTATTAAAAGTGAAATAAAGAAGCAGCGTGTTTATTCTGTGTGCAAAGGTAATAGTTTGCATGGTTATGCATAACAGAAGAGTTCCTGGTGCATTGGTTTTGTGTGAGTTACTCATTATTAGACTGTTTTCACTAATGTTTGAGTCCCTCAGAGCTTCTTCGGGATGCATTTCTGATGACATTTGCTAGGCAACACAATCTTTCTGTTTGTGTTCAACAGGAAAAGCTCAGCGAAAACCACTGATGTGTGGAATATTTGTACTCTGTCTGAATTCTGCAGCTGTGAGGTACAAAATGAATAATTCTGAAGCTTGAAGACAGAACAAGGAAAACCTGAGGATTGTTTGTGGTTTAAAAACCTGGGCTTTTTGGGAAATGTGGTTGAAGTGTTATTTTAATAGGCTATTATGGTATTACATTTTATTGTAGTATTTATTTATATTTGGAATTAGCTTTCATTTTTATGTTTTTAATATTAGCTTAGGTTTTAGTAATTTTGTTATGTGCTGTAATATTCTGTATATTTATATATAGCTTAAATTAATTTTTAATTTTAAGTTTTAATTTGAGTAATTTTAAACTTAAATATGTTTAGACAAGGCAACATTTCCCATTTTCATGTGTTTTTTTTTTGTGTGTTTTTTTTAGTTTGAGTTTGAGTTTTTGATCTAGTATTTTTATTTTATTCCAACTTTATTTCAGCTTCTAGTTAAAAATAGCAGCACTGGTTGCAAGTCGTTGCTAAGGTGTTCTTGTTGGCCGAGTGATGCTGACTGGTTGATAAAGTTGTTGCTAGGGTGTTGCTAAGGAGTTTCTAAGGTGTTCTAAGAGGTTGCTAGGCAGTTACTAATGTGTTTTAGTGACTTTTTCTGTACTGGTTAGTGGATGGCATTTCTAGATATACGTATTACCACCGTTATATTCAACTATCATGTAAATATATTATATTATATTATAATACAAACTACATAGTTTCATTCAATTTCAGTGTTATTTTAGTATTATTTATGTACCATTGTAGTATTCATTAAAATTTAGAATTAGCTTTTATTTTGATATTTTCAGTTTTCAGTATATAATATAATATAATAAGTCATTGCAAGTTGTTGCTAAGGTGTTCTTGTTGGCTGAGTGATGCTGACTGGTTGATAAGGTGGTTGCTAGGGTGTTGCTAATGTGTTTTAGTGTTGCTAGGCGATAGACAAACATTGGATAATAGGATGAATTGGATTTCATAAGAGAACAGGCAGAAAGCTTTACGCTGTAAAAATGATTTTTCAAAGCTGTAAACGAACCAAAGAGAAAATACTATTTTAGTCTTTCTACTTCAAAATGTCTCACTTGATTTGATGCATACCTTAATTCTTTGTGAAATTCACTAGCAGTTTGTTTCAAAGTGAATCCGGCACCAGATGTTTCTAGGAGCTGCGTTTAGACGTTTTTTTCGGTCTCAGGTTGGTGATTTTGGAAAGAAACTAACTCAAGGTCAATGCTGACAGTAACAGCTTTGTCAAGCCAACATGATGTCAGAGAGTCTTTTAAAATGTGTCATTGTTCTGCTTGAAGAGACTCAGTGAAGAGAACAGTTCTGGTGTTTCCAAACCCTCCAGCTGTATTCATGAGGAGTGTGTGTGTGTGTGTGTGTGTGTGTGTTTGCAGCTGAACTGCTTTGGGCATCACCGCAGACAGACGGCCCCGGCCCCGGCCCCGGCCCCGGCCCCGCAGATCTCCGGCAGCAGGAGCGAGCTGTGCGCTCCGCCGCTTCACTCCAGGATCAACGGCTGGTCTCTGCCTCTGCACGGCTTCCAGCTCCTCGCCTGGCTCGTCTACAGCTTCATGGCCATCGTCGGCTTCGGCATCTACCTTCCTCTTCTCCCGGCGCCGTGGAGCTTCGCAGCGTACGCCGTATCCTTTACAAACAATCCACAAAAACAGAAACGTTTATGTTAAAAAAATCATATGGACAGTGAGTCATGCCAACACATTTTTGTTCCATTACTTTAACTCATCAAAATCATTTTCAGTTTCAACTAGACAAAAAAAGATTTTTAATTATACTTTTTAAGTTGAATTAACTTGTTTTTACAGAGCACCAGCAATGTTCACATTCGGTTCTGCCATAAACATCCAGTTATACTAAGCAGAAGACCACAATGCACTGGGAAACTAGAATTATTTATGTACTATTGAAGTATTTATTAATAGTTTGAATTAACTTGTTTTGTTTTGTTTATAATATTTTAATTTTTATTTTAGTAATTTTGTTATGTGCGTTTGTCATTTTTCTTAGATTTTTATATATCTATTTTGTTTTAGTTAATTTATAATTATTTTTATATTATTTTATTTTATATATATATATATATATATATAATAACTACACTTACATCCGTTTCTTTCCATTTCAGTGTTGTTTTAGGATTATTTATATACTGTTGTAATTTCATTAATATTTTTTATAGCTTTTATTTTTATATTTTTTCTTTATTATATATATATATATATATATATATTTATTTATTATATTTTTCACGTTAATTTTAGTTTTAGTTTTCATTCAGTTCTGCCTTAAAAATCCAGTTATACTAAGCAGAAGTGTGTCACATTGCATTGCCAAAATAATGAGGGTTTCCCGAGCACTTGGTCTGTTCAAAAATATAATAAATAGCCAAAATTCCTGTTGCATTGTCTCGACTGATTGCATGCAAACCCAAACATAGCCGAGAACACGACCGGTTCGTCCAGTTCATGAACAGATGACTCTTATTTTCAAATGAATCAGTAAAAACGACTCATTTGAATCAGTCTAAGGAACAAGCAGGCTTCGTCAGCACACAGACAGCACTTAACAGCGTGAGCTAAATTCCAGGTTGACGTCAGCAGCAGCAGATAATTGGAGGATGTAGTCCTCTCATACAGTCGAGCTGACAGTGAGTCAAACGAACTGTTGTTGAACCTTCACACCTCATGTGTAGTTGATCGGCGCGGTGTTTGTTCTGCATTTGGTGACTCACGTGGCGGCGGTGACCATCGACCCGGCGGATCTGAGCGTTCGGAGGAGGAAGGATTACTCCAGCCCCATGCCTGTGTTTGACAACACCAAACATCAGCACGTCATCCACAATCTGCACTGCACGCTGTGTGAGGTGGACGTGTACGTACAAAAACATCTCATATTTACTGAAACACTATCGGAAAAAAATAGATCAAAGTTGAAGAAAAATTAGAATTACAATTTGCTTCCTGCTTCCTTTTAATTCATGAGTGTAAATTGGAATGACTGAAAAAGGTTTCTGTGTTGGTTAGTGAGATGGCATTACTAGATATATTGCCACCCTTACTTTCAAATATAAATATCATCTAATAACATATAATAATATATTATATTATATTATATTATATTATATTATATTATATTATATTATATTGGATATTGGAATATAATACAATATAATATAAAGTCGTTGCTAAGGTGTTCTTGTTGGCCGAGTGATGCTGACTGGTTGATAAAGTTGTTGCTAGGGTGT